AATCTAATTAAGCTGTCTGCTGTCAATCTTCCAATGCATAGACATTAAACCCCAGTTCTGGCAAACAGGAAATCATGCTAATTTATGCCTTTGAAACCAAACACTGATTAAAACTCATAGTAATTCAGTAATTCTCTGATACAACTCACTGCTATTGCTTCCCCGGATATAAATAGTAAACTCAGTTTCAAGGAGTCGACATGATATCATACACCAATAAATGCATAGATTTCACATTAATTTAAAATTTAGCAATCCCACCAGCAAGAAAACATTCTGGTGAAAAAATAAATAAAATCAAGAGCAAAACAAAAGTAATAGCCAAAAAACAGTTCAAAGTTCAATTCCCCAAAAACTAAATTTAAATAAATCATCATCCCATCTTTAACAAATTTCACCTTAGATAGCTCTATTCTATAGGCCAAAAATACATCATCACTAAAATTTCAAGAATAAATAAATGAAAAGTACCGATATGAACTAAAAGAACTCCCAACATCCATACCAAAATCAACAAGTAACAAAACTCATCATCTTCAGAACTGTAATCAGCTATCAAGCTTCAATTTAACCAACCCTAAGCTATTAATCAAATACTACAGGGACAAAAAAAAAAAAGTTAAAACACGTAATCACGCACTTCAGATGCAGAAAAAAACATCATCCAAAATCAAGCTCCATGAACAAACTCCTACTTACTTATCTTAGGTACAACATATTAGCACAAACTTGAAAAATACCACACGTATACATACAAGTATGTATCTGCGTTTTGTCTACATACAAATACCTTCACATAATTTAATAATCGGAGGAGTCTCAGCTGAGTTGTTCACTCATTTCAGTAAGGAATAGAGAGGAAAGAGAAAGGAGGAGAAGGACAAGTAAAGGCTCTACTGTAGTACTACCTATTATTTATGTGTGTGCGTGTGTGTGTTTTTCTTTTTTTTCTTTCCTTTTTTTTCTTTTTCCTCCTTGTCGTGACGGTTCAGAAAGAAAGAGAGAGAAGAGAATTTTGTTAACGGAGAAGGAAGGAGGAAAGGTGCGGTTTTTCGTGTGACAACGACTTTCAGTGGAAAAACGAGGACAATCAAAAAATTTATTCCCACGAATTAAATTACTATAATTATCAAATCAGTAGTAATATTAACTACTCCCTCCGTCCCACTTTGATAGTCCTGTTTTCCTTTTTTGTCTGTCCCAAATTGCAGTCCACTTTCCAATTGAAGAATGTAGTTGTATTTTCATTTTCCTAAAATACCCTTATTCAATATAAGTTGTTGTTGCTATAAACCTACCCCATTTAATGAGAGTTGATTCTTTTTTTACCATCAATTCAAGTTCCCATAAAGTTGTGCTCTATTTAATATGAGGGTATTTTAGGAAAATAGCAATCTAAATTTACTTTTCCAACAAAGTTAACTACTTTTTCTTAAACTGTGTGAAAAAAGAAACAGGACTATCAAAGTGGGACGGAGGGAGTAGTAGTATTAAACACTATGATTTACTCATATTATATTATAGTTGTATCATTTAATTGCAGTTTTGGAAAAGTATATATTTATATTCATATCCCCAAAGTTTGGTAAAAAAAGTGTTTAGCACAACGAAATTCATAATAATGAAAACGTCAATCAATCAGAGTCGTTTGAATTTTTTTTTTTTTTTAGAATTTTGGTAGAAAAATATAGTGCAGCAATTTGATGTATGTGAACTAAAGCAATTTGATGTATGTGAAGTAAAAAAACGATCAAAACGAGTTCACGAAAAAATTGCAGAAAATAGTACCCACGTTTCAAAATCAAATATTGAACATTTTACGTTGTAAAAAAAAAAGAGAAAAGAGTGCGTTTCTAACTTTCATAAGTAACACGTACCAATTATTTAATCTTCATTTTTTGAAGAATAAGGCTTTGTTTGGATTTTTATTTTTCTGGACTTTTATATGAAAAATTACTGTACGATTTGATATATGTGAAGTAAAAAAATTATAGGTAACAATTCTTCTTTATAAAATTGCAATCCAAAGTGTTTAGTAACGTGTATTTGTTGCATAATTTTGACGAAGCCAAAGTATGGAAATTGAGGCTCAAAGTGGTGGGTTCGAGATGGTTGAGGTGTCAAGATAGGAATATGACAAGTCGTGAGCTATTTGCTTTAAAGATTGAGATACGTTTCTGAGGAAAACCCTTTACCGCTTCCGTTCTTTCACTTGCTGTTTTTTGGGGGATGGCCAGAAGCACGAGACTGCGAAGTCGCGAGATGGTGAGGTATGAATATGATGGAAAATGGCCGGCTAGTTCAGGGTAGGTTGGGGAACGGTGGCCGGCTAGTTCTCTAACAGGTAAGCGCTTCTATTTTGGAACTTATTCCGGGACCCGCTAGTGGGAGCGAAAGTGACGAGCTCTTTTCTAGTATATCTTATGACATTTAAGGTCGTTTGTTTTGGGTAAAATATTTTCAGGAAAATATTTTCCTAATTTTTCGTGTTTGGTTGCACAAAAATTACTGAAAATATTTTCTTATGTAAAATATTTTCACTCATCTTATGAAAAACAACTTCCCTTCCAAACTTACTGAAGTTATGTTCCGAAATGCATACATCCCGCCGTAGTATATTCCAAACTTACTGAAAACATCTTTGTAGTATGTTCTTTTTTTTTTTTAGTGTAAACAGGAGGACTCGGAAGACCTCTTCCTTACACTCCCTCCCCGTACCACCCAATCCAACCCTCCCCTAGTATATTCAAAATAAAAAAAAAAATCTCATCCTACTCATCCTATGCTAGTAATTAATTATGTATAATGGAGACATTATTTTCTAGAGAAACTTTCAGTAATGAGAATGCAAAATATATGTCACAATAAACATTGCATGTGATTGATATTTGACACTAAATGGCCAGCAATTTGTTTATTACTTAAGGAGATATTTTTTATTCAGATATACATTTCTCCAAGATTTTTTAAAGTTAAACAATGAGATAAATTTTCTTATTTTGCATGGGAAGAAGTATGTAGTTATAATGTGTAGAAAGTAAAGATAGAAATAAAAGTGAAATATTTCAAAAGTTAAACAACACCAGAAAAATGAAGTAAGAAAATATTTTCAATAAGTTAACCAACATCTGAAAATGATGAAAGGGAATTGATTTTCATGGAAAATTACTTCCACAGAAAATATTTTCCCCAAGAAAAATATTTTACTTTCAAGCCAAACAGACCTTATTATATTTAAAATTGTAATACTGGGAAGGGAAGTCAAGTACAAAGTACAAACTACAAAGGCGTGAGTGAGGAACTGCTGAGCCAGAGAAGAGAGGTTGTTATTGGTTGGTTGGGGGGAATTTTGGATTTTTATGGCGGATCAGATCATGGTGGGTGGGAATAACACATTCTTCCAAATTATTGAGAGGTGGGCTAATGGATTGGTCTAAGTCAAGTCACGGTCCATTACCAGTCCACCACCACCTCCCAAAAAAAAAAAAAAAAGGTAATGATTCTACTACTACATTAAAAAAGATGTTTACCATGCTAGTATTTTTCTTCTGCAGCAAATCAGTCCTAGTTTTTTTTTTAAGCCCCCAAAAAAAGAAGAGGGGGGGGGGGGGGGAATAGGTAGTGTCAAACCTTTCCATTTTGGTTGCCGGAGGGATCATCCGTCCAATAAGTGATGACCATAAATAGTTATGGCACGAACCATTTGCTTGTTGTCTGTCTGCCTACCAGACACATTTGGATTGTTTTCTGAAGAATCACACGCCGCATACGCAGTTGCCCGTTCACAGGCTTACAAAGCCCAGAATTCATAGTCATTGGCCTAAACCAATGAAATGGTCCTCATTTGAATAATAAATGACCTCAAATATAGGTAGCTGGACCATTGGCACTGGTTCCGGGTTTCTAGTAGTTCGAATTTCAGACACGATGGGCTTAGCATTCCAAAGCAGGGCTGGTACTGCTATACATTGCGTGATAGATGTGCAAGTCTCGTATCAACTCATTCGATCGATGATGTTCGAATCGAGTTCGATCGATCGTTCGAGTTTGTTGGCCCAACCAAACGACTCTTTAAGTTAAGTTTGAACAGGTATCTGTTATGTATTTGCACGTACAAAAGATTGTTCTGGGCTTGAAATTATTTTAGATTCTTGATCATATTGCATGGAATGCATCATCTACGAGGACACCAGGAGAGCAGTCCAACAATAGTGCTCTTTTTCATCCGATCAGGATATATTCTGTCCTCAACTAGCTAGCTGCATAAAAGCAAGATCACTAGATTAGATATTCCTTGATTTAAGAAAGAAACATGCTGTTTGTACTGTTCTAGATTACATGCTGGTTTTTTTCCCGCAAGAACAGCCAAATTACATTACATGTCCAATTGCGTGCGGGGGGGCAAGGTCCATTTAAAACCAAACAATGAGCCAAAATCTTAGCGGCCAGTCAACTTAGCCCTTCTGCACAAAATCTTGTGTTGGGGGCCAATATGTTGGTGCAAATTCAACGCCAAGGACAGGAAAGGCTGAATGGACGCCTAAGATCAATTGATAAAAACGCGGGAGGATCGTAATGGTTGGTGGAAGATTTATTAGGATTCTCTCTTCTCTTTGTCTCTCCCCTCCAGCAATTAGAATTAGTCCGTTCCATTTCCCCGGACCGCCATCAACATCCTCCGCGCTTTCGTTTTGGTAGCAACAATAAAGTCCGTGACACCTCACGACAGCCTGGCTTATGCATCCACAAAATATCTCCTCCTTTTTTATTCGTGTTGTTGGTGACAAACAATCCTGAACCCACACACACACACACACACAGATTTCTCTCTTTTTTTGGTAACTTTTGATTCGAGACTTCTTTTTTAAACGCCAAAAAAAAAAATATTTTTTCAAGAGGGCCTCTAAACGTTGAAGGAAGAGAGCGTGAGCGTGGGGAAACAAAATTAAAAGATAACAATTACATATAAATTCATACGGCATAAGGCAAGTCGAAACATTCTAGAAACGGTTCCCACTCCCTGGGAACGTGGAAGTACTAGGATTATCCTTGACCATTCGAACATTCACAATAAGGAGCGCATTCTTTGGGGGTGCAAGAAAACAAATAAGGGAAATATCAGATCAGATCAGATCATCGAGGGCTACTGCCCCAACAGCACATTCCATCAGACAGATGTTAACAGAGGTACTTGGATTTTTTACCTACAGCCTACCACACAATCCAGATGTCTACATCAGGCATTAGCAATAACATTAGAGCTGACTAAGTTAGGGTTCATACTAACTACTATATACTTATACTACAAGCAACCAGTTTTTCTACAATCGTCTCGATGTGCATCGATCGCTCTTAACCTCTTTGCTGCACGGACGAATTCTACGACCACTTGTACCTCGTCCACTTGCTGTCGTGAAAATCAGAATGACACATAAGAAAATTTTCAATTGTGATGTCAGGGCATGTTGGTCATAATGCAGAGACAGAGAGAGAGAACCAACCTGAGAAGAAAAGTGCTGCTGGACAATGTTAGAAAGTTGTTCCTTTGTAAGGTTAGAATTAATGCTGGCCTGAAGAAGTCAGAATTGTAAATCAGCAACTTAAGCAGAAATATAAAGTTACTTTTGAACAATTCATAGGAAAAAGAAATCCAGAACTTGGAAAAGCTAGCAAGACGTACTAGCTTGAATCTCTGGCAGTATCTCCACAATGAGCCAGTTCCCAATTTTGCCATGTTCGACCCATGGTGCTGAAGAAACAAAGGTGGCAAAGAGACAGGTTAGTCCAAGGCAAACATCTTAGAGGCAGCAAAAGAGATATGCACGAGTATTGACCCCAATGACAATGATGGTTGTAACTTCCAAAATTGTTTTAATTGGTAAAACATGATCATGACAAAAGTTGAGCACTTTCCACTTTTTGACAACAAATAGTGAATTGAGTTTACCAAAAAAAAAAAACTATTCATTTAGCAGCTGAAATCCTTTCACTTGTCCTAAGAAAATTGACGACAAAATAAATGCACTCTGATGTTGGAAAGAAATGTCAGGAGGAAACTACCGCTAAATCAGATCTTGATGTATTTGGAATGAAGGGCTCTGAGTTAAGCGAGCAATAACTAGCTCTTGCAATACAGAAGACAAATTTTTAGAATGCTGAACACATTCCGTGACAAGGACAAAACCTCCATTTATTGTGCTCACCTGTTGAGGGGCATGGCTATTAGATTTAAGTTCGCTCCCACTGTTGCGACTAATTGACTTTGTGGATGCGATGGAACCAATGGCCTTGCATATCGGACTCTCGCCTTGCTGAGTTTGCTGAACTCGATACCAGCAGCTACTGGAAAGAAACAAAAAATTAGAGCAATGAATCACCAATATGAGGCATAGTCAAGGTTTTAGCGTACCATTTCCTCTTAAAGGTTTAGCAAGCCATTTCTTGCAAAATTATGGTTTCACAAAAATGTTGGAGGATTAGAAAAATCATTTGCCCCAAATAGATTTCTACGTCCACCCTTATTATCTATTAGTAAAGGGATACTTACAAAAACGATGACTCTCCTTTTCACCAACTTCACAGCCACTGCTAGAGTCATCAAAATCATAATCATCATCTTCTTCATTCCCAGTGGGAGGTTCCAACACACTCAAAGCATTCCTTTGCAATTTAACTTCATCCCCATTTTTCAAAACCTTCATGATTGGATCATACAAGTATCTTCAGCCAAGTACTCCATAACAACAGGAAAAAGAAGGCGGTAAAAAAGAAAAATACACAGAAAACACTGAGACTCCACGAGTTCAACATATCCCTTTGTCTTTACATATGAATGAATGTGCTCTTTGTATCTTGTATATTCTTGCATAAAATTAATGAGATCTATACACTTCACAATTTTTTTTTATTCAGAAAGAATAAAAGTTTCTGCAAGGACAATAAAAAAGCAAAAAAAGAATAGCAAAGTTCCCTGAAACTAAAGAGAGAAAATTAGATTAAAAAGCAATAAAGCTATAGTTGTCAGACCTCTTTATGGATTGATTGATTGCAAAGTTCCTAGATTGATTGATTGCGGATACTTATGGAAAAACAAACTTTCCAGGAAAATAAATAAAGGAAAGTGAGTGTTTTTGTGTGTGTGTGTGTTGGATTTGTCCGTCTTTCAATCAACCTAGGATTGTAAAAGCGTAATCTTGTAGGAGTAAATTTTGTTTGAAGTAGATATGTTCTGTCGTGGTGGTATTACTGAGCTGATATACTCTCTGGTTCCTCATCTTCAATAATTGATTGCCTAAAAAAAGACTTCTGCGAAAATTTACAAATTCGTGAATATTCCCAATTTTGTATTGTTTTGGGTCATACTTATGGCTCAATATAGGAAAACAGTCATTTGAAATCAGGAGAACTTAAAAAAAAAAAAAAAAGAAAGAGGAAAGACAAACATAAATTATACTAAAATAGCAGAATCTGGAAAAAAGCACTTATCACAATTGAAACGCAAGAAATCAATAATACTAAAACAGAAATAAGACGCAATATAATTCGAGAATATACCAGCCAATGCCAACCACCAAGCCCAACAGCCTTCTTGACAACACCTTGAAGACCCACCAAAACACTCTTGGTCCTGTTGTTTCCAGTCACAATGACTTTAGTATGCCTAGGAAGAACAGACAATTCTTCATCGCCACTCTCCTCGCGAAAGGGTGATAGAACCCGCGAAGAACATAGCTCAGTCTCCAGCATTTCCTCGGCCTAAATTGCTAACTTGTAAAATCAAGAGCTCCAATTGAAGAAAAAAACCTTACTCAAATCATCAACTTTTACCCTCTGCATCTACTCTGTTTCCATTCTCTTCTCTGATACCTTATCTCATGCAGGAGGCTGAATTGAACCAAAAAGAGAAACAGAATTTAGAGTTGTCCCTTTTACTTAGAAGTCAAAGACCTTTCTTCCGCAGATAACTCCAATTCAATTGCTTGCAGGGTAAGAACTGATCATGGAATTTCCTGAAAAGACCAATCTTCAACTGGGATTCCTGGAAAAAGAAAATTTTCAGATACGTTGCAGAAAAATTTGACAGACGTAATATTAATTCATGTTAGAAAAGATCTGACACAAGCTCTTGAAAGGAATGCATAATAAATCAAATGAACCATCAAAGCATTGAATCTCCTTGGAGTTCACGGACTTGGATTGGTCCTGTTTATTAGTACTACTGTATCATTGATTACCAATCTTACACACGCTAGTGTGCGTGCACAGTGCACACAAAGAGACTCACACACAAAAACAAATAAACAAAATTAATTCATACACCAATTTCAATTCGTCGTAATTTCTCATTTCCATCAAGGAAAAATCCCATATATTTTAAATTAACCGCTCTTATACGGATTCATTCAACGGGAGAACAAAGATCGTCACTTTAATATAATCTAAATTGAGAAGAAGTCTTGGAAAAGAGGAAGCAATAAAGACGGAGGATCAGTAGAAGAATCACTCATTATTAACCATTCAAAATTGTATAATCCAAAAACTTTCCTGATTTCATACTTCCACATTGAGTAAAACACAATTGATTTCATGAACTAGCCCATTTAAACAAACAAAAAGCAGCAGCCCAAAGAAATTGAAATGCATGAAACAGTAAGAAGAAGAACCTGAAATTGACAATCTTGATTACAGGAAGGCACAAAAAGGAAGGGAAGAAAGAAAGGAACAAAAGAAGAAGAAAAGACACAGAAATGGTAAGAAAATTACTCCAAGGGATTGAAATTCGAAACCTCGTATTCAGAAACAAATGCATCAATCTCAAAATGGTGCGTTTTACTCGACACTACAACAATATGGTCCTACTTCCAGCGCTGGGAAAAGCATTTTCATGGCTAGAAAGAAAAAAAAAAGAAATGCGAAATTTGAAGCGGAAATTGGGAGAAATGCCAAGAATCTGATGGGAGAAGTATCAGAGACGAACAACAAGAATAGCAACCGAAAAAGCAAAAAAAAAATGCACAAATTTTCAGACACAGAGAGACAGAGAGGGGCAGAAGAAAAATACATACACACAAAATAAATGCTTACCAACTACTTCTTCTACAGTAAATAATACTAATCCCATGAGAGAATACAAATTAAAAAGCCACCTTCTTCTTCTGCTTCTATTTCTGCTACCACCAGACTCCCTCACTGCTTCCTCAATTCTCTCTGCCGCTGCTGAAAAATGCTTTGCTTTAATTTACTACTACAACCAAAATCATAAGAGTGAGAAATAGGCCCACTTCTTGTACGGTCTGCCCATACATCATCTCTCCCTCATTATTATTACTTTAGTAGCATTACTCGGTATTTTTTCAAAAAAAAAATTTATTTTGAATTGACCGGTTGTAAAGGTAGCGGCTCCATATTAGTCGAGGATGAAGAAAGAGGAGGGTAGTTGGCGGCTTTGGCTCCATTGTGGTGGGTGCTGGCGAGTGGCTTAGCCTTTTGTCGTTTGTAACGGACTAGTTGTCCACTTGTCCTTAAATCCTTATCCTTGTTTTCACATGGGTTGATTAATTGCTTTAAAGCCCCTCTTCTTTTTAGCATAAAGTCCATGTTGCTGCCTAGTGGTTTCTTTCTAATCCTTGTTAGAATGGATGTAAATTTTTAAACTTGTTTTTTTTTCCAAGTTTTTTCTCTGTTCTTTGAGGTTTGGTCTATGTGTGTTTAGTAAGGTCAAGTAGAAAAAGAGTTTTTTATGAGAGTGCACACATTTGAACAATGTTGAGGACTTTATATTACGTGTACAACATTTGAGAAAGATGTTCGAGGAATCAAGATATTAAATCTTTATGAATTAAGTGATGTATTGTCTTTTTTTTTTTTAAGCAAATCGGCAATTTTAACTTGAAAAATGATATGACTTTTAGGGATGCTACTGTATCATTTTAAATAAGATCTTATATACACTAATGGTGTATATATTATCACGGTTGAATATACGACACATATGTAAAATTTGAGTTTCAAATTCAAATTCGAATTATATGTCATACATCTAATGGCGAAAATGTATGCACTGTCAATCTTATCATTTTTGTTAAAATACTAGTCCTTTGTCCATTTAGACAATCTAAAAGACCGCATATGTTCATAATGTCATGGCTAGTATTTCTTCTTAATAAAGTATGAGGAGTACATATAACGAATGAGTACCTGCTACAAATTTTAAAGAGTCAATAGGATGATAAAATTATCTTACAACTTTGTAGTGCAAAATATTTACGATAATTTCAAATAAAAAAGACTGTCTCTACGATAAGGAAGACAAAAGAAACTTTGATTTAAAAAAGTGTGGTTAATACTTACAGATTATGCTATTTTTCAATTTGATAATAATGCTAGATTCAGCATTTAGATACCAAATTATCACATGTACTATAAACAATTGTACTCACTTTTTCGAAAGGAAAAAAAAAAAAGGTTAAAAGAGTGTTGGATTGAATAATGAAGGACACATTTCTGCGTGGCACTTCACAAGAATATCATAGTGCGTAGCGCTACACTTCCCCAAAGTTTAGAAGAAACGGTATACTTACAAAGCGTCGTGATTGTCCGGTAGCAGTATCTCGTAGATCACTAGTTTGAATCCTAATGTGGTATCACACTTGCATTCTTGAGCAAGGCTTTACAAGTCAGGAGGTAGATTAATCTGGTTAAGTTGAAATGCCACATTTTGTTGGAAAAAAAAAAAATAGAAGTATATCACGGCTTAAGTTTTATTTTTTGGAATATTATCATGGCTTAAATTCATCACTTTCCCAAGAAATTTCAATGCGTCATGTCATGAATGTTGAGCACTTGGCAATCAGCCTGCTTATACGCAGAACACAACTATTTTGTTATCGTAAAAATCTAGCTTTCAAGTTAACTAATCGTGTTTTGTCGGCTTTCTTAACCCAGTCACGGATAATGGGTTGCTTAGATGCTAATCAACCAAAACATGCATATTATTATGCATTACATTTAAAGTCCAATTCTTATCCATAGCATGCCTCTAAAGCCCCTGCCCGGCTTCCGGTGCCCCTGCGGAGCTAATAACGAGCTGTCATATAGTTTTTCTATGGTCAAAATTTAGCAAATAATCAAATACTAAAATATCAACGCACCATCAACTTATTATTTATTGTAATTTCACAATTAAAATCCATAAAAACAATCAAACAAGAGTTATTTGAATACAATCCAACATCATTAAATAAATATAACTAAAGTAGTCAAGTTTGTAGTTTTGACACAAATATAATTATTAAGTCATTATGATATTTTTTATGGAAAAATATTTTATTGTGTTAAGTGTAATCAAGAATTTAGTATAATTGTATTAGTTAATTTAGTATAGCTAATTAATAATTTTCTATTAATAAACGTGTATAAATATTAGTATAACCGATAATATTAATTATATTACATATACTAATGTCCATTATATAATACATATAACTAATAATATCATTATTATAAGTTTGTAACTAATTAAATTAAATATATAATTATATACATACATATATATGTTTGTTATTTGTTTTACGGGTGGTTGGGCGGGGGTATACTCCCCCGTCCCATTAGCCTCCCGCAGGACGGGTGCTTGTAAACACCCGTCCCAATTATCATCCCTATCCAAAATAGTTATTATTTTTTTTATCGATACCATAATTCTTATTTTATACCTATTTCTACATTGTAGTAAAGGAAAAGGGTTGAATCAAAGAGATCAATGGTGAACCAAATAAGGACTGAAAAGAGATCAATAGAAAATTCAAAGATAATTAAAGCGCCACTAGATTAGGCGAGTGCACAATCGTCTGTTGGTAAGATTTTTAGAGAATATTGGAGAATAATACAAATCGAGAGATGCGATCATTTGATCTACATCCATCCGAAAAAAGTTTTCAAGTCTCTCCTTAATGGGCAATGCAGCCTAATTGGTTACTTGCAAAATAGTTTCTCTCTGTTAGGTTGAGCTGGTTATTTGCAAAATAGTTAGTTCCACTAATTATTTCTTGTTGCTAATATGAGAGATGTGTAATCTCTTGAGATTATCTAAATAACTTATAGTACCAGATCATACTTTTATCTGTGCTAGTGATTATAATCCGAACAATCCAAACTTTTATTTATTTAAAAAAAAAACTTAGAGTGTGTTTGGATTGCATTTTCCATGAATTTTTCATTGAAAAATTACTGTAACGATTTGATGTATGTAAAGTAAAAAAATAATAGCGAAATATGTTCACGAAAAATAAGGCCATTTTTTCGATGAAAAATGACTATCCAAACAAGCCCAAGATCCTTTCAAGTGAGTGCGTGTGTGTGTTTTATTTTTTAAAATTATGGGTAGAAGTTAGAAGGCAGGTAAATGCCACCCCGAGAGAGCTGTGAAATCGTAAGAGACAACACGGCAAATTACTACATTTGAGATCCCAACAAAATACTAAAAAGTAAAAACCCACCAAAACACCCTGAGAATTCTGCGCAGTGCAGACATGCAGGGCAATCTGCCGCCAACAGCATAATCCAGCCCTCGCGTGATTCTCATCCGGTGGACCCCGGATTATCAAACCAACCTGTCAGGCCCAATTCCGGCAACTTGATCGACGGCCCTGATCCCATCCCACTCTGCATCGCTTATCCACATCGCATTTCCACTTTTTACCCCCGACAATCGCCCTGTGTTTCGAGGATGTAACCGTCATTTCACTATGACGATCAACTCCAGCCTTAACTCAGCCGAGCCGATTCAAATCTTTTAACGGATTACAGCCGGTCACCATGAAGACGTGTCGGGATGTCGGATCTTATCCTGACAGGGCCCAAAAGTAACTGTTTGGGGCGACGGGTTGTACTCCGTAGCTATATTAGGTGTACGTACGTATGGAATGGGAAATATTTTCTGCGTGAAATTTGAAATTCGATTTGGAGTCCGCTCGTTCTTCGAGGCAGCTGGAGCGCACAAAAAAAAAAATTAAGAGAGAGAAGGGAGAAAGGGAGGGAAGACGAGAGAAAAAGAGAAGGAAAGAAAAGGCCCGCCATCGGTTTGCCTTTGAAAGATTTTAGGATTCAAAGGAGAGCAGGGGGTGGGGCTTTGGCAGGCCCACTCCCCACATGCTTTGCATTTATTACTTTCCCTCAATCTATATATATATATATATTTCCTACTTTTACTTTGATTAATTTCGAGTTAGCCCCCTAATGTAATGTATGTAGAGATGTGTACAATTGATTGTTTGCAAAAACATCTACCTTTTGTTTTGTGAGGTCGAGACTCATTTTCACACCAAAGGACCGCTAGCGCATTTAATGCCAAGTGAATGATACTTGCTACTAGTCATTACTACTACTACTTTCCAAAGATGATATTAGAGCTTTGATATGTTTCTATATATGTATATATATACTCCCTTCGTCCCACTTTGATAGTTCTGTTTCTTTTTTCACACAGTTTAAGAAAAAGTAAATTTATATTGCTATTTTTCTAAAATACCCTCACATTAAATATGGTACAACTTTATGGAAACTTGAATTGATGGTAAAAAAAGAATCAACTCTCATTAAATGGGATAGGGTTATAGTAACAACTACTTACATTGAATAAGGGTATTTTAGAAAAATTAAAATATAACTACATACTTCAATTGAAAAGTGTATTACAATTTGGGACAGATGAAAAAAAGAATACAGGACTATCAAAGTGAAACGAATGGAGTATATATTTGTGTGTGTATATATATAGAGAGTGATGTGACATGAATTCGTTCCCGTTTATCATAATAGTACATATGAGGGTGCATGTTTTCTGCTTATTTCCTTTCCTTTATAACTTTAGAGCATGAAAAAAGGTACTGTCAATTTTTACATTTGTTTGGTAGCCTTTGGAATGTTTATTGGCCATGTTTGGATTGCTTGTTTTCGTCGGAAAATATTGTCGTTTTCCGTGATCACATTTTCTTATCACCTTTTTCCCTCACATATATCAAATCGCTACAGTAATTTTTCCATGAAAAATGACGAAAAATGCAATCCAAACACAACCAATTATATAGGGCTGTCAAGCCTCAATATAACGAGGAGCTCTTTTATACTCATTAGCCCAACGAGCTAAGCTGGAGTATGGCGATACAAATCATACAATACTTGTCTTGTCGAGCAACTCAAATATATGTGTGTGTGTGTGTGTGTGTGAAATTGCTAAAATGTATATGTCTTTTGGATAATGTACACATTTTATTTATAAGTAAATGAGTTTGAGCTCGTCTTTTTTTTTTTTTTTTTTAGCTGGGTTTCAATTCCCTAAATATTTATCGAGTGGATCTCCCACATTAGATAAGTATTCGATGGAGTTGAAATACAAATAGATTGTTCAAGTTTGAGCTCGAGAAAAATAATAATTATTTGTGCTTTACTCAACCTGTATATACCCTTATGTTTATTTCTATATTAGCCACTTAAATTCGAAATCCTAATAACATCCTCTTATCAACAGTTCTAAAGACAGATAATATAGAAGAAGGGCGAGAAATGTAGATTAGTTTTTTAAAAAAACGTAGATCAGAGGTTTATCTGCAAACAAGTTAAGACCTAATAATGACCTAATAGCACGTGGTTTCAAATGACAAGCCACTGGTAAAAATCTGCTGTACGTATGCCTGCGTTGTTTTATGTGGTACGCTGCTTTTAATCTTAGGTACAGATAGTCATCGCCATCAAGTATCAACCCATCGCTGTCGCATCGCCAACAATTGTGATGAAATAAATGTCAATAGATAATTGTCTCTACTCTCTAATCACAACAAACAGAGAATTCGGATGATGATTTTGATCACCTGGAGAATAATTCTGTTTGTCTTTGAAGGGTACTTTCTTTAACCCTACTGACTACGATGAGTTCAAAACTACAATAGATATAAACCATTTTAGGGGTATGCTTGTGGCACCGTTGCGATTGCGAGACACCCTGAAAACATATTACGGTGTAGACTTGCAGTAAATTCACTCCAGTTCCTTCTTACCACCCGGTAGAAAAGCTTTCAAACTACTCCAAATTCGACAGGCATTTTGAACAGAACAATCACTTGAAAAACCCAAAACAAGAAAACAAAACAAAATACTCCCGACTAAATATTGCATTTCACCAGTTGTAAAATGAATAATCCGTAGGGACTACAGCGTCCCGGAAATTTTTTTTTTTTTTTTATCCCACAAGCATTGACAGCTGCAAACTTCCACGCAGAAACATGCATTTAAAGCTAAAACATGGAACACCCGGTGCAAAAATCCAACAGAACATCCCTGGTGATGGCAGGGCAATTGAAATGTATTATTGATTTCCTTCGCATTAACGGAGCTAGTATTAAAATAGGCCATTACTAAGACAATATGGAAAATACCCACTTGAGATATTATTATTAATCGCACTCTACTTTTTGTTAATAGCATTCCCCCTATTTATTTTATCGTATGATTACTAATAAATGAAAATCATATGATAAAAATGATAGCAAAAGTGCCATTAACAAAAAAATATAGTGCCATTAATAATTCTCCGTTCAATATTAGAAGATGAAGTTCGAAATCATTAAAAAAAAAAAAAAAAAGAGTCTATACGGAGTAGGAGAAGCAACCGTTTCATCATTCACAGAAGAATCAACGTCCAGTTTAATGAAAGGACACTCCCAAAGACAAAAGCAGGAAAAGAAAATGAACACAATAAAATCAATAAGCTCGGGAATAGCCCCTACCCCCGGGAGACACAGAACGATCCCTGTATCTTCCATAGGAGTCATAATCGTCACCCCTCTTACCATAGGGGGAGCGCGATCCCCGATGATCCCTATGATATGGATCTCGATCATGGCGTCGACGAGGTGAGTAACTACGAGACCGTCTTGGTCCATATCCTACATAAACCAACAGAAAGTAACTAGTCAAAGCCAACCAAAAATTTCAACCAAGTAAAGCTTGCATGGTTCGTTCCGAATGCAATCAAGCACACAGGAAGACAAAATGTAAATTACCTCGTCTTCCTCTCAGACCTTGATACCTTCCAGGGGTTGGAGTCCGACCACGTTTACGCTTAGCCTGCATAAATGGACAGAATGCACAGTATCGTTCAAGTTCTGCTAGAAAAAGGATCTCTAACATGCTTTAGGCATGAATAGTATTTAAAGGAGAAAAAAATATCAAACGTGTTGTGTGGATGAGTCCCACAATCTTCTAGCAATTTTAATAGACTATTTTCTTTAACGCTTCCTAAGATACAGTTTTATCCTAGTTTAACCCATCTTAGACAACTAATGCAACTTAAAACAGTACCAAAAAAAGAAAAAGGATTTAGTCTAGCAGTTTGCAGACCCCTCAAACTGAGTCCTTTATTATTTAGCTCAGGAGCAAGACACAAACCTTCAATATTAAATGCAGACGTGAAAGAAAACCAGAAAAACTGAAGCAGCCAGAATTGTTTACTATACAGATTCTGTTACTGATGAGGTAAAGGAATTAAGGGCCTACAACCCTCTGGAAAATATTCGAGTTGATTCGATGAGTTTCAAACGTCGATGAAGAGCGCATGTCGTGAGGGATATGTTCAACGATTTAGACTTTAGAGCTTAGAATTTGACTTCGATGAAGCCACACAGACCAGACCTGCTGCCACAATCTACCAGGCAACATTTCTGAAGATAAGAATAGCTGGTAATGAAGTACTTCAGTCACATTTTACTACAATGAACACGCTCTTTTGACAGATAGACAGTACCTTCTCCACAGTAATTAATCGACCTTCCATCACCGAACGATTCAGATACTTAATACAACGGTCTGCATCCTCATTTGTTTCCATAGTAACAAAAGCAAATCCACGAGATTCTTTAGTGCGGGGGTCTGTCACTAGATGGCATTCAGTAACCTTAAACCAGAAAGAACAATGAAACAAATCAACCCAAATAGATAAAAGATACTGTTCTTCGTATATATCTACACCACCATTTAGCCATGCACTAGATTTTCCAGTTTTAGGTATGCGCAAAAAATCAACAGATGCTCAGTTCTGATACTAAGACAACATTTTCTTGTGTTAAACCCGCATCACCAGAACCTGTTATAGCAATATAGGAACATAAAGGTTCAAAAATCAAAGACAAGGAGAACAACATATATGGATTTTATACAAGTAGAATGGCTGACAATCTCAACCATCCTTCTTTATACATATCCCTAAAATGTTATGCATTTTTCCCCCAACTCGATTACGGAAATTGGAATTTAAAGATTGCAGACTAACAGAATCTACAATATTAGTTTTGCATTAAATTTTCAATAAATTTTAGATAAAACGCATTCGAGGCATCTAAATTCGCTCAAATTCATGTCTCAAAAATTAACCATCATTTGCCCAGCAAAAAAAGTAAGAAAGAAAATGAAAAACAATGTCTACAGTTGAGAAACACAAATAACAACGTATATTTTGATGAATACACTAATAAAAAAACCATACCTTCCCTTCTCTGTTAAAAAACTTCTCAAGATCACTGCTGGTAACCCTTGTGGACAGGCCTGTTACATAGAGATTATTCCCAGGATTAACAGCGCCAGCAGAATCACGGCTCCTGGGGAAATATGACTTACATGTCATGTAAAATAATAAAAAATTTCAAGATAACATGATTGATGTATTTACCTCACAGAAATGTATTAAAAAAATTTAGGTAGAATTGTGAAATTCTTGAGAACCTTGTTAAGGCAGTATAAAGTAATTCTAGTGGATGAAACTTGATGCAGGAGAGATTTATTTTCAAATGGCCAAAAAAATATAGTGGGAACAAACTCCTAGAAGATAAATAACCATTTTAACAGAAGCCCTTCAAAGAATATACTTGATGTAGGCAGTCCAGAACGACAAACCAAGAAATCATTATATATGATGATGCAATGCATATAACGAGAAACATGCAATTCTGCATACAAGTACTCAAATTAGGTTGCAACATAAGTATCAATAACTTTTGGGTCTTACAGTTCACATCTATGATTTACAAATACTCTGTGGTTCATTGTTATTCACGACATTTTGGAATCCTTATAGATAACTTACCATTGACTCAGAATATATACCTGGAGCGTCTCCTTGGAGACTTTGATAACGATCTTGACCGACGAACCCTAGGTGGTGGAGACAAAGAGCTGCGGGGTGAAGCAGACCTAGCAATACTTATAGTAAAGACAACTTCATAACAGGAGACCAAATTTCAATGAACAGAAGCTCACGATTTCAATACTATCTTGCAAGAATGGACTCACCTTCCGTCTCTAGCATATGACATCTGCTTTAAACAAAGGAAACAAAGGCCCTAATCAAAACCTTAAAAACTAAGCATGATAAAACTGCCCTACATGCATCCAAAAGTAAACAAAAAGGACGTAATAAAAACTAAAATGATATATACAACAATTGATTTACGTTCATGAGCTAATTTTAAAGTAAAATTCTCAAGGTATTTACAACAGAAGAAGGGGTGTAGAAACGAGCCTACTCAAACAGAAGACTATTATTTTCCAATCTTGGTTTGATATCCTTAATGAGCTCCAAATTGGGTTTGAGCTCAATTTGATTATTATTCAAGCTAAGCTCAAATGCGCATCCACCCAAGTAGTACTTCCTAAATGATAGAGAAAGAACGACTTCAAAGTGGAAACCGATTAAACGACTTCAAAGTTGAGACTGATTATAGTTTATGAGAGAAGAGATAAAGAAAAAAAGGATCATCAAACAAACATGAAGAATGTAAAAGAGAAATTAACTCAATAATGCAACTATTTTAGACCCCCGAAGGGAAAAAGGCGTGATTTTGACAAGGAAAAAAAGATGAAATCAGCCTCAAACGATCTTAAAGAGGAACAAAAATATTTTCTTTTTCACTAAAAGAGCTGATAATATTCATAGGCTTCACAAATTAGCATTCTTTACTTATCAGAAGCTGAAAGAACATTTAATCGGGGGGGAAAAATAGAAAAGAAAAACAGAGACAAATTTCCTCTAACAGATATCAAATTTCTGTTTCGAAGCAAAAACAAAAAATTCATATGCAGATTTTGTTTAACAAAAAAGTCCAAAAATGGGACGAGATGAAGTCAAGCTGACCTTGATTTCGATTTTAATTTTGATTGAGAAGAACCGGAGAGAGTGAAGACGAAGCCCTAGCGCATGAGTAGGGTCGTTTTGTGGGTGAAATACCGAGTCAAAGGAATCATCCCATAGGTGAATTCCGTTTTTGGCCCTCGTGTTGCCAAGGTTGAGCGACTTTAATTATCTGTAGATTATTTCTGCCCAAAAGTTAAAGGGGGCAACTTTAGGTACCCCAACCTTAAAAAACCGCCAACGCATGTCGATTAGGGCTACCTTTTCCTAAAGAATTTGCATGTTTATGTTTTGAAACTCAGACGACGCAATCATGCTCAAGTTAGGGGTCAGTGGTCAATAAATTCGATTCGATCGAACTATTCAAGAATTGGATGACATCCTCGTGATGTCATAAATATATTTAATTTTAAAAATAAATATATTATGTAAAAATTCTAAAAATATATTGATACTAAGAAATATATTCAATGTATGTTTGATGTTTCTAAAATACTTTACAAGAAAATACAAATAAAGTAGTATAATTAAGTAGCAATTTATGCAATTTATAATTTAATGCATATTTAACAAGCTTAGAACCTTCTGTTACCGTTTGGAAAAAAAACAAGTTTAGAACCAAATTGGAGGGCTTATTTGAAAAGTAATACAAAATTTAGGGCTATAGTTATAAGTTCTAAAATGTTTCTAGGTGTAATAATAGTTTTCTAATACTCTAGGGGTCAAATCATAAAATCTATAAAATATTTCTAGGTGAATTTTTTACTTTTTTTTAATGTTTTATCCCTTTTTTAACTTATATCTTCCATTGGAGTTGTTTGAGAGAATTTATGATAAAATATGTGAAAAGATTTAAGAGTAGTTAAAAGAAAGAATAAAAAAAAGGAAGATAGAAAAGGTCAAAAAGGAAAGATGGAAAAAAAACTTGGTTCGAAGGTTCTTTCGGTTTCGGTCAAACCGATTTTTGACTGATTTGACTAAGTTTTTGTTTCACGGTTTTTTTAAGATAACTTAGATCGGATGCCTACCCGATTTTTGGTTCAATCGATTGAATTGGCTAGTCCCGTCTGAGTTTCAAAACACAGGTTTGAATCTCCCTATGGATTTGAGCGAGTAATAATTAGATAATAAGTATAATTGGATCAACCCATTACTCATCAATTGAATGAGTGTAATTGGGTACCATTTAGACCATTCAAAATTAATATGTAGGTTATTGGTGAGTAGATTTAGACGAGTCAATATAATTAAGTTGTGACCTCGATGTTGAGTTGTGTTAGTAAGTAATCTCTACTTAGCATGCATGTGACTATGCCCTGTTTGGAAAACTGTTTTTTACCTAGTTTTTCTCTTACAAGTTTTTAATAATTTTAACTATAGTAACCTAAAAAATTGTTCAAAATTTTAAAATACATATTTCAAAATATCAAAAAACACAGAAAAATTTCAACTCTTTTCTTTTTCTTCTTCCTCCCTACCTCAACCAGCCACTACTTTACCGTTGGTTGACATTCTTTCCGGAGCCGGCAAAAGTAGTTTCTCTATTTTTTTTCCTTTCTCTCCTCCCTCTCCCTCCTCCTTCCTCTTCCTCTCCCCTCTCCCCAACCACATCTCTCTCCCGTTTCCCTCCCTCTTGGGCAACAGGAGAGGGAAGGGAGGAGAGAGAGAGGGAGAAGAGGGGGAGAGGAAAAAAAAAACGGTTGCTACTATTGCCGTTGTCAGCGGCGGTGAGTTGTGAGGTGAGGGAGAAGAAGAGGAGAGAAAGAAAAGGAAAAATAAAGAAAAAAAAGAAAAGGAAAAGAAAATAAAAGGAATTTTACATTTAAATTTTTTTACAATAAATTACAATAAAGTTTTAAACAAATACTCAAAAAACTCATTTGTCAAAGGGGGCATATGACTCTAAAAGCATGCTTTGACTGTAACAGTGACTAAAGTCAAAACCATCCCAACTTTTTGTTATTAAGAAAAAGAAAAATTCAGACAAATAGTTCATCATAAGTTGATTGTATATTTTATGTCACTTACATATAAAATGACATTTTTCATCATTTTACATATTGGTTTCGTATCTTTTATGTCTCTCACTATGAAATAATGAATTTTCATCTCTCATAAATTGAAAAAAAAAACATATTTTTAGTCCCTTGGTTTATTTTTACTAATATTCTTGTCGGGAAAAAAAATCATGTGTTGCTCATATTTGACAAATTTTGAGATAAAACCAGAAGAGAAAAAACTAAATTCCTCATAGTTTTTTCTTCTTATCCTATTTTTCTAGTCAATAATGGCAATGGCCACGGTTACTTCCATCACCGTGCTAATGCTGTTGCTGTCGGTCGGCAACTTTTTTTCAAGTGAGTTTTTTAGTGTTTGTCTGAAATTTTATTGTAGATCACTGTAGAAGTTGTAGAAAAACTTTTGTAAAATGAATTTTTTTTCCTTTTCATTTTTTTTCTCTTTTTTTCTTTTTTTTTTTTTTTCTTTCCTTTCCTCCCTTCTCGCTTCTTTCCCATCCCTTTCCCTCCCATGTTCCCTTTCCCGAAACTGTCGATGAAGCAGTAAAAGAAAACTTTTTTTTTTTGCTTTTTACTCTCCCCTTCTCCTACCGCCACCCTTCCCTCTCCCTCCCCCAGCACTCCTCTTCTCTCTCTTCCTCTTCACTTCCCTTTTCCGTTTCCCTCGCCCGCTAACTCTCCGTCCCCCTGGCAGATGAAGCAGCAACAGATTTTTTTTTTTTTTTTTGCAATTTTCCCTCTCCCCTTCTCCACTTTTCCCCCGCCACCCTCACCCTCTCCCGGTGCAATCTGGTCTCGACCAGATCGGCCAAACAGGAAGGGAAGGGTTGTGAGAGAAGGGAGAGGGAGAAAAAAAGGGGAGGATCAAATCGAGCAAAGAGGAAGGATGGCGGGGAGAGGGAGAAAAAAAAAAAAAAAGAAGACCGGTACCGGAAGAGGTGATCGGCGTTGAAACTGGTGGCGGAGGTGGTGGTTGGCGACGGAGGTGGTGGTGGATTGGGGTGGGAGAGGAAGAAGAAGAAAAGGGGAAGGAATTTTTTTTATGTGTTTTGGGTATTTTGAAGTGTATAGGTAAAAAACTTTGAGAAGTTTTTTCAAGTTACTGTAACTAAAGTTAGTAAAAAAATTAGTATAAGACAAACTCAAACAGACCCAAAATTTCACAAAAATTTAACTCCCCACTCAAGTTTTAGTATAGAATTTGATTTTTGATATTTGTTTTAACAAAAAATAAACAAATGTAGGTAGAAAAATAGAAGAAACATTGTACATTGAATTTGATTTTGGTGTTAATATCGTTTTTTATAAAATCTTACTGCTAATAGAAAAAAAATGGCGTATTTTTTCGATATTAACTATGCCAAAATTTACCTATCACAATTTTTTTTAATTTTTCACCTATTTTTGTTCTTTTTTTTTTTGCAAAAACTAATGTCAAAATTAGATTCTTCCTGAAAAACTGAGTGAAAAAGTTAAATTTTGTAATGGATAGTGGTGGCAATCAAGGGCAACATTGTCAGTGCAGTAGTCGGAGCAGTCATGACTACTACCACATTCATCGCTAGAAAAATACGATAAAGGAGAACGAAATGTGGCAGACATTTTTCCCTTTTTCCCTGAAATCTTCTAATTTTGTTCATAAAGTTTGCAAAGTATGAGGTGTATTTTCCCACCAAGAACACGAGTAGATATCCTTGGAGGGACAAAAAGTATGCATTTTTCATTTGTGAGGGATAAAAAAAAAGTACAAAAACCAATGTATGAATGATCATTTGTATGGTTTCTCCTAAAAAAGTACACATATCATACAAAGGGAATAGTAATTTGAAAAAAAAAATGTGTCATTTAAAAAGGGTGACATGAAATTTTGGTGTTAGGTGGTTCAAGAATTCTCACACTGCTAGAGACTCTGTTGCTAAATTTCTAGCGAATTTGAGTTTTCAAATAGTAACTAAAATTTCACAATTTGTAGAATTTCAAAATACATGCAATTGAAGTTCTGATTCTGACATGCTAATCTTAATGTTTTGATCTTTTGTGTAATCTATTCCAAAGAGAATAAGATAAATTTGAATTGTAAACATTGCATATTTTGTAGAGATACTTTTCTTTCGGACTTGAAGTATACACTTATCATCCCTATCCTCCGAAAGTTTGAAAAAAAATATAAAAAGATGAAAAAAAAGAAAATACTTCCATTCCTACATTTTTTTTAACATTCAAGATAGTACAAAGATTGATCAAATTCAAGAATTTGGAGCACTAATAATTGTGGTAGTATAATTTTATATCCACTCTACCCAGCTAGTAAGTGAAAATTCGGTCACACTTTAGATTCATTACTTTTTTTTTTTACAAGTACTAGTAGCGTGCACAAAAAAGATCTTCGACGGCTAGCCTACTGAACTGTTAGAGATCTTGCATCATCTTCCACTGCTTCACTGCCACCACCGTCCAGAACAGTTGATCTTGAGCAAAGGAAGAAGAAGGCAGATGTATATATGCTCACATGCCAAGCACTGCAAAACCAATGCTCAACTAGTCAGTAATATAATAGTGTTTGGTTTTGTGTAATTAGATGGAGTACAGCAGTAATGAGAGACTGATTAAAATACCTGTGCCAAATCCAGGATGTCTCGAGGCTTTCCATATCCCAGCTCACTGCAGCTATCGACATTGCAATGAAGCCGGCCAACACAAATCGCCATTTGAAACGCTTATTGAGCGCCTTTTTAAGATCAGGCAACCATGACCTGAGCCTGAGCAATCTAGACAAGTTTAAAAGTTTTTCAATAAAAAGGATGCAGGAAACTGAAACAGAAACAAGTTGTGGAATCACAAGGATTTTTGGTGTGCAATGAATGGAATCCGACATACCTATGCTGAAAATTCCAATTGGATCTCAGTGAATTAGACTTGAATGCACTGAAAAGTTTCATTATTAACCATGCAAACAGTAGACCCAAAGCTCCAATTGCCAGTACAAGAGGAATATTTCTTGACCTGCACAGTTCAGAGGGAATAATTTTGCTTGGAGAAGGAAGGAATATATTGGAAATCTGATCTTGATAGGGTAGATGGTATTTAATAGGACATATTTGGTTGGACCATTTATGGCTATCAATGCTGTAACAACTGAGGAGATGGTGTGTGTTGTTCTTCTTAAACCTTCATTGATGAAGGTTAGATAAATGAAGGTGCTTACCACAGCCATAAAAGAGAGCCAGGAGTCCATGAACTACATACAGAAGCAGCAGCCAGTTCTTCATCAGTATCTTAGAATTTACAATTATGAAGCAAAAAGGCTTTTTAAATTTAGCATCTGGATGTGACTAAAGTGAAGTGAGAAATGGTCAGCTGAGATTGATAACAAAATAATTCTATAGGTGTGGTTGAAGTAGTAAAGATCCCATTGAGAAAAAAAACAAGGTGGGTGATTGATTCACATCCTCATCATTGAAGTCTAGGAACCGAGAGATTCCTATTTCTCGGACCACTGAAGACCGAAAATCGACAAAGTTTGGTGCTCAGTTTGCACAAGGAAGTGCAAGTGATGGAATTTCTTTGCTAAAAATGTAGTGTGCGTTACCCGTAGGGGCTTGGTCCCTCTGTCTTCTTGTTGGATTTACATGTCCCATGATCAGAGCAATGATTCGGGCAACTTTCAACTGAAACAGACAATACAGTTCTGGAAAGAGCATTACTTAGCATTGGATGCCTCAACCCAAAACTCCAGATTCCTTATCTGGGGTATAGTAGGTAAGCGCTTACTGTCCTTGCACTTGCACCGTACAATTGGAACATGGATGAGCCAATACCACTATTGTTCGTCTGGTTTATGTAAAAGTAGTCCCAATCTCTCATTGATGGTAGGGTAGCCCACCAAATCGCACATACAGTTCATAGTTTATATTTGTATAGGCACCGATATTAATATGCAATGTTTTGTCCAGAAATACCTTGTTGAACATCGAAAACAAAATAAGTCCAAGCAAAATCTGATTCATTGTGAGCTGAAGTATTACTTAAAAGAGGCTCCAAAGGAAGATTATGCAACTCCACGGGAATCTTCACATGATTGGGCTTATAAACAAAAAATGCATCCGTATTGTCTCCTGGAACCACCTACACAAGAAGAAAACTAATCATTCGTAAGGCCCAAGCTTTTCGGAGATAGCGAAGCTATCAATTGTATAGAAATCTTTTTTTTTTTGTCAGCAAAAATATATTTGTATAACCTACTCTATCCTAATCTAAGGGAGGGAGAGCCTAAGGAGGCTGTGGTAGGGGACTAGTGGATATGCAGACCCAACTAGACCAAGGGAGTGTTATTGTACTCAACCCTTAGATTTTTAGGAACTTAAGTCCCTCTCTGGTGGCCACGAGCTGTTGACACAGTGATTCAATTGTATAGAAGTCAAGTCCTGCTTTGTCTGCGCATCATCACTCGAACAGCATATAACAAGCAAACAAGAAAGCAAAAGGTATGGTTTGAGATTCATGGATAAGCCCTGATAGATAGATACAAAATAGAGATGGAGAGGCAGGAAAACATGAATGGGACCCGACGTTCACAACTCTTCATTTGTGTGCGAAGAAGATTCAGAAATAGAAGCAAAATGAAGCAGGGTCATAAGCATGGTTCAAAGTCGCGGTCATGGTTGCAGTCGCGGCCGGACCATTCCACATCGGTCTCGACATATCAATTACGATATTAGCGAGATGCAAATTTTGGAAATATTTAATATTTTAAAAATTGTAAACAATATGATAAACAAAAATAATTAAAAAATTAGCAAAAATAATAAAAATTCAAATTGACTCGGGATGACTTTGGCCGTTTCTATTCATCTCGGAGACGTCTCGGTTGAATTTTCGGCGATTCATTATTTTGGAATTATCTCGTTTCGGTATCAGATTGGAAAGTCCCGTTCTGATGACGACTCGACCGAATCGTTTTGGTCTCGGCTAGGTCTTTAAACCATGGTCATAAGGAAAGCAAAAAGAATATTCAAAAATAGAAGCAAAGTAATTAGGGTGCATTTATGATGCTAGATAATCAGACTCTGTTAATATGGAACTTTTCAGAAGCAGCAGAAGTTTAATTTAAAAAAAAAAGATTTTTTTTTTAAACTTTGAAAAATTCGTTAATTAAACTTTACCAAGTTTGAATACAACGGATAACGCGAACCTCTCTGAGGGTGGGACTGGTGTGAAAGAATACATCGCATTGTAAGTAGTGGTTAGACAATAATAGGATATGATGCAAATAGATATCAACCCTTGATTGGCACAGTTAAAGCTGTGTCTCCATTCGTTGCTCCTGTCCTGCACTTAATGTTGAATCTCCATGCATGTTTTAATACTTTGCAGAGAAGAAGTAGAACCCAAACTGAATGAATAGTGAATCTACCAAGTGAAGTATTCATTCTATTTACTCCTCATGGCTAAAGCCTTGGGTAAAATGCTTGGAAACCACATTTTGTTTTAGCCCCTCGTAAGTAAGGCGAGGAATAGAACTATAGAAGTGAACCTGAAGCATTTTCACCTGCTCGTGAAATTCTTAAAATTTACGCTCCGACTGCAACTTTCGTACCCAAAAGGGAAAAAAAAAAATCCCGCTCGTCATCTGATCTTTTGTAGTAACGTAACTGTCATTATAATAATTTCCTAGCAGATCATCCTTTTTCTTCCAGAAGAGAGTAGCTTATTTCGTTCCTAAAGCTAAATGATTGTTACATTTCTATTCAAGTGGTAAAATTCACAAGCTCCAATCAGGTTGTGATAACAATAATAATATAAAATAAAATCATCACGACAAATAGAAACACCCGTCGAATTACCTCGTCAACCGCTACATGCCCTGGCTGCACCTTTTTTAAAATTGGATAGACATCTAGAAAGAATAAAAATCAGCAAATTTCCTTTTGTGGATACATGGGAATAATTTTACATTTCATCAAAATTCTGTGCAATAAGAAGACTATAGAATTCAGCCAGCTGTGGTCGAACTAATGGACTCTAGAAAGCTAAGAAGTAGAGGTTGAAGTAAAACAACCAAGCGGGAATCTCAGTAGCCTACAGATTTTACACAGGAGAAAAGAGAAAGGAAGACACGCTCATCGAATAGTAAAACCAAAACTGAATCAGTAGACGAGAGGAAAATCATCAGGAAGAATATATTAGCTCTTGAGAAGGTTCTCGAGGGCTTCAAAGAAAAGTGGAGCCAATTCAGGACTAGGCGTTTTGATTGCACACTTCAGACCAGGTATTCCAATAACAGCTGTGATTTCAATTAAGAAAGGAACTCCACTCGGAATTTTTGCAGAAAGATATAGCACTTCCTGGTTTGCGTGCTTGCGCTTGGCAATGAAAAACATATTAGAAGCAGCCAACCGATCCAGGGTTACTTCCACACTATTCATCACAATCCCTGGAAAGTCCTTTGATACCTCATTTGAATCAGGTAATGACTTCCATGTCTGCAACATGGATCAACACAACAATCAGTTTCAAGATATTTGTCTTTCTAACCAAACAATCATGAGTACACCTATAGCATTGTACTCACACTGGATAAACAAATGACCATGTGGAAAATATAGACGAAATACATGCTTCACAGTACAAGGAAATGTATACGAGGACAATGTTAACAAACATGCTATGAAATGCAAATTTCAATCTGCAGCTCTTAGTTTACATTGAATATCTGTTTGCAACTAAAGTTGATTTTCAGAAACTCAAAGGACATCTTTTGAGCTTTCACCAAAACTGCAAGTAATCCCAACAAAGAACAAAGAACATATGCAATAGCATATAAATAATTGCAGGTAATACTAATGGCTGGAATTGTTCACAGAAGCATGGTAGGGCTAATGCTTCAGTTACCAAACAGTCAAACCCCAATGACAGACATGATATAAGAAACCTTCTCGTTTACCTCAAGAAAAGTGCTGCGTTCCATTTTCCCATCCTCGGCAAAAAATACCAGGAATGATATTGCATCACTGAAGTACCATACAGGCTGTTGATTATTTTTCACAGCAACTTGCAGAAGTGTACTCGGAGGACCAGGGGATATATTCTGGTGCAGAACCATAGGCAAAAGGGTACTTGCAGAAGTCCCAGGCTGCAATTGGGGAACCTAATAGACAAGAAGATGTTAATAATACAGAGAAAAGTGGTACATAAAGGTAAAGTGAGAACTAGTTCACTATTCCAATTTGAAAGATATGTAAGATGGATCTATCTAAGAACGTCCAGAAATGAAATAAGACTTTGAGTAACAACCTGCAGTGGTCCACCAGCAGCAAGGCCAAATGTATTCTTGTTAAATTGGATCATGAAACCATCAAGTGGAATCTGGGAGTGTTCTCAAACAACATGCTGTAAAATACTTGTCCATCTCTTCGTACAAGCTGCGCGCTGATTTGTAAACCCTGACCAGTAGCAGCTGGTAATAGAACAGGCAAAGGAGGGCTGCATTTAAAGACTGCTTGTTAGAGTTCTTGCCATAACCAGTCTACAAGATTTAAAATAAAATAACACAAAAGTAATCTTCTGAAATATCCAGTTTAACATTTATATAGGCCCTATGTCTGCTTCATCTAACACAATCTTACACTTAATCGCAATATCACATGAGGGCAGGGTACGTACCCAGCAGGAGTTGCAGGCTGATCAACAGACACAATAGCACTGCTATTATCCAAGCCCAAGTCAAGCAAATCAGGCACAAGTGCAGGAGCTGCAGATGCAGCTGGAGCAGCCACTGCCTCCCTTCCTACATACTGGCAGAACTTGAAGAAGCTGGTGGTGAAGTACTGCTGTCAGGTGCATAGGCAGGTGATTCAGAATTTCCTGTTTCACTTCCATCAGCAAAGTCATCTTCCTCAGTTCTCTGAGAGGTCTTAACACGAGTTACAAATGCTTCAGGGCTTGTGATAGACAGAGGATAAAGTAGCTATGTTTGCTAGAAGCTCATCAAGTAGAGATGGGTCAAGTTGATTTGAGTCATCACTAATCACAGGCTTTTCAGCTAGCACGACGTCCTTCGCTGCCTGAGAGACATAAAGAGTAGGTCCTTACATTGTTAAGTGAGTTTTGCACTATGCTACACGTGTTCTGAAATAACTTTCTACTACCGCAACATAGTAAAATGCAATTTCCAGCAGCATAGATCAGTTGATTTAACATATTTTTCTCTCATTAAAGATTTGATGGATACAAGGGTGGACAAATAAAGTGAGGCAAAGTTGCACACCTCTGGATCAGTTGAGAGAAGACGCCAATATATGTAGGCACGATCTCGCAAATCAGGATTGTCAGTCTCCACTGTTGCATTATTCAACACAACCTACGTGTAAAAGACATAGAGAAGATGCATATGAAAAACAGTATATAGAGGGCAGGACTTGAGAAGTGAAATGAAACCATGCTTCTAATTAAGAACTGCACCCTTGCAATGAAGCAAAAAAGAAATCTTCCAATGATTAAAAGCAAAAAAGAAGAAGAAGAAGAGGAGGAGGAGAGTCTTTTTCACATTCTCCTTGTAAAATTACAGACTGTTTTCCAAACAC